GTAATCTTCTTGGCTCAGCTTCCCAGAGTGCTGGCATTACCAATGTACATCACTAGTCTCAGTTTATATCAATACTTTTTTTTTTTTTTTTTTTTGCAGAACCAGGGATTGAACTCAGTCCCTTGCACTTGCCAGGGAAGCACTTATTCCACTGAGCCATCTCCACGGCCCTATATCAATACATTTTTAAATCTAGTACCCTGATGATAGGCAGACTCTTTATCCAAGGAAGTCTTAAAACAACCAAACAAACAAAAAAACAGCTTTCTTGAGGTATAATTGGCATTGAATAAATCGTCCATTTCTTAAGTATGTAATTTAAGAAACAGCTAGTCTAGCCTTGAACTCACTATGTAGCCCAAGCTGGCTTCAAACTCAGATCATCCTGCCTTAGCCTCCCAAGTGCTAGGGTTACAGGTATGATCCACCATACCTGGCTCTCTGGTCATTTATTATTATTTATTTTTTGAGGAACAATGTATTGAACTCAGGCCCTTGTGCTTGCCAGGCAAGCACTTATTCTACTGAGCTATCTCCCCGGGCCCAACCCAACATTTTTATGAGTTCTTCCCCCCGCCTTCATTTTTTTTTTTTTTTTTTTTGCGGAACCGGGGATTGAACTCAGGCCCTTGCGCTTGCCAGGGAAACACTTATTCCACTGAGACATCTCCCCAGCCCCACCCCCCTTCATTTTTAAAAATAGTTTTATGTTACTTTTTCATGTTTTACTTTACTTTATCTTCCTTTTTTTCTGGCTGCACGGGGAACTGAACCCATGACCCTCATACCAGGCTGTGTCCCTAGCACTTTCTCAGTTTTCTCTTTTGAGAGTTCTCCCTAAATTGCTCAAGCTCAGCCTCCCCCATAGTCCACCTTTTTTTAAAAAAATTATTTATTTATTTTATTTTGGTGGTAGCAGGGATCAAACTTAGAACTTTACGCATGCCAGGCAAGCACTTATTCCACTGAGCTATCTCCCAGCTCACCTTTAATTTTTTTTTAATTTTTACTTATTTATTTTTAATTTTATTTATTTATTTTTGCAGTACCAGGGATTGAACTCAGGACCCTGCCCTTACCAGTCAGGTGCTTATTCTACTGAGCTATCTCCCTGGCGGAAGCCCACCTTAAAAAAAAAAAAAATCATCAAGAGCCGGCCAGATAGCTCAGCGGACTAATGTGCCTGCTTAGACAGGTACAGGACCAGGTTTGATCCCAGGCATGCCATGTTGGCCCTGCCCCTGGGGCATGCTGAGATGGCAACTGAGACTGGGCATGGTGGTGCATGCCTATAATCCCAGGGATTGGGAGGCTGAAAACAGGAGGATCATTACAAGTTTGATCTGTGTAGTGAGACCCTATAGACCCTGTACTAAATTCATCAAAATTTAAAAAAAAAAATAATTCATAGTTTGGGTTTTTTGGTACTATTGCTGAAACCCAGGGCCTCATGCCTGGTAAACTAGTGCTCTGTCACTAAGAACTGAGCCAGGGCTTTTGCACTAAGGGACCTCCACAGCATTAATTAATTAATTAATTAATTTACTTATTTATTTATTTTTGAGATAGTGTCTCATTAAGTCAATGTATTTGGCTTTGAAGGCTTGAACTTGTGATCCAGGGCATGCTATCATGCCTAACTTTACCTATTCCTTTTTTTTTTTAAATTTTTTTTTAATTATTCATTTATTTTTATTTATTACATTTATTTATTGTGTTTGTGTGTGGCCAGCTCAGCCCACCAGGGGGCGGGGCTGGCTGGCATGTGGTGCTGGGGGATTGACCCGCGTGGTCCCTGTACTTTG